CTGGCTGCCATCTCACGCGGGTCCTGCCCCTTTTTTCTGCAAGCCATGCCCCTTTTCTTGTTCTGGACCAATCAGATTTGTCGTTTGCATCATCTCCCCTTTGTCCCACAGGGCTCCGGGCGGCCATGACCCTGCTGGAGTGCGGGGGAGAACTCCAGCCCCCCGGGGATCCCTGCGCCTCCTCTGCCGCACCTCTGGGTTTGATTTTGAAAAATTCGCAATGCTGTGGATCCACCAGAGACCCGGGCAGGGGCTGGAATGGGTGGCGGGGATCAGCAGAAGAAGTGGAAGCATCTGTTACGCGGACTCAGTCAAGGGCCGGTTCACATTGACCAGTGACAATGGGCAGAGCTCGCTGACGCTGACCATGAACAACCTCAAGGACGAGGATTCCGGATCCTATTTCTGCATGAAATCTTCTTGTACCAGTTGTTGGCCTACTGGTGCTTATAGTGATGGTGCTGGCCATGGCCTGGAGCTCTGGTATTTGATCCGCACTCATCATTGTGTCCCCAAACTCTCGAGTTTTGCCCCAAAGTCTGGCCTTTGGTCCAGTTGTTGACTCCTTGTTGTCCTAGGGTGTCATTAGGTTGCTTGCATCCCGAGTAATTTTTCTTTTTTGCTGGCTATTATGGTCTGTGACTACAAGAATGGCTCTAAGAGAGAATATTTTGTTTTGATATATTTTGTTTTTGTTTTCTTTTATTTTGTTATCAGCTTTTCACTCCCCCAGCAGTTGGTGGCACACAGAGATGGGGCAGTACGCAGGGCATATTTTGCTGTATCTTTTTGCTCCTACTCTTTAGTTAGTTCAACCTGGCAATCAGAATTTTCCCTGGACTGTTTCTCCTTTCCCTTTTTTGGACCTGCTCTGGACTAGGACCTGGGAAACACCGAGAGTTTGCACCTTGTGGCTGCAGCAGCTGCCCCAGCACCGGAGGGACTGATAACAGAGCGACAAACCCTGAGGGAGACTTTCTGAATTTGTCATCTTTTTCAGAGCAATGAAGGAGTGGCGTCATCTGGTGTTGTTTATTTTCTGTGCTGGGGGGTGCTGTGCCTGTGACATAAACAGGCGCTTACTACTCATTTCTGAAGAATCCCTCCCGAACTGATTGGGAGGAGCAGGTGTGTGCTCCTGCCCCTGCTGGCCCTCCGAGGTGGGTCCCACATCTTTTTCTATGTGGCCACGCCTGCTTTGAGGTCCTCGACCAATCAGGTTCCTCATCCCCATCTCCCCTTTGTCCCGCAGGGCTCCGGGCGGCTGTGACCCTGCTGGAGTGCGGGCGGGACCTCCAGCCCCCCGGGGCCTCCCTGCGCCTCCTCTGATGAAGGTCCGGGTTCAATTTTGGACAATCTTGGATGGGCTGGTGTCGCCAGAGGCCCGGGAAGGCCCTGGAATACGTCGTGAGTGTGAACAACAATGGTGGTTACCCAGACTACGCGCCGTCGGTCCAAGGGCTGGTTCACGATCTCCAGGGACCATGGGCAGAGCTCGGTGACGCTGACCATGAACAACCTCAAGGACGAGGATTCTGGATCCTATTTCTCTGTGAAATCTGTCAATACTGGTAACCCTGTTGCTGCCTATATTGACCATTCCGGTGGTTGCACCACCCCATCAGAGCCCCCCTTGTCCCCAAACCCAGACTCTTCCTCCCCAAACCTCAGCCCTGGACCCTTTGTCCCAAATCTCCCCCATTTGCCCCAATGGTCAGCACTGACTCCAAACCCTCCCCTGCTCTTGCCCAAAAACTCAACCATTCGCCCCAAACCTTCACCCCTGGGCTCCAGTTCAGGCCTCCTACAATCAGGACCTGGGACTGGGTAGAGATTATGGAGAAATGGGCAAAATTGGAGAAACGTATAGAGTTGGGGAAACAATGCTAGAGTTTTGGAGAAAATGGTTTAGGCTTTAGAAGGGCTGAAACTTGGGGGAAGCATCGCTGGGATTGGAGAAATTTCATGACCCTCATGGTCATTAGCAGAAGTGAAGGCAAAAAGAGCAGCAGCATTACCACCAGCGTAACCATTGTCATGTTTGGCACAGAAATAGGATCCGAAATCCTCGTCCTTGAGGTTGTTCATGGTCAGCGTCACCGAGCTCTTCCCGTTGTCCCTGGAGATCCTGAACAGGCCTTTGGCCCATGGCACATAGTTGGTGGTGCCACCATTTTCACTGATCCCTGTGAGCCACTCCAAGCCCTTCCCGGGTTTCTGGCGGATCCACTGCATGCCGAAACTGCCGAAACTGAACCCGGACCCTTGGCAGAGGAGGCGCAGGGACCCCCCGAGAGGCTGGAGGTCCCCCCCCGCACTCCAGCAGGGTCATGGCTGCCCGGAGCCCTGCGGGACAAAGGGGAGATGGGGATGAGAAACCTGATTAGTCCAGAGCCTCCTAGTGGGCAAGGCCAGCTGTAAAAAGAGGCGGGACCCACATGGAAGGAGGAGGATGAACTCCAAGGCTCCAAGTTTGGGGACAATAATCAGGACTTGGGTCAAGGGTTGAGCTTTGGCCTCATCCCCATCTCCCCTTTGTCCCGCAGGGCTCCGGGCGGCCGTGACCCTGCTGGAGTGCGAGGGGCACCTCTAGCCCCCCGGGGGGTCCCTGCGCCTCCTCTGCCGAGGGTCCGGGTTCGATTTTGGCCAATTTGGGGTGGGCTGGATCCGCCAGGGACCCGGGCAGGGGCTGGAGTGTCTCGCGGAGATCACCAACACTGGTGGAAATATCGGCTAAGCGCCATCGGTCAAGGGTCGATTCACGATATCCAGGGACAATGGGAAGAGTTCAGTGACGCTGACCATGAACAACCTCAAGGACGAGGATTCCGGATCCTATTTCTGTGCCAGGGCTTTTTGTGCTGGTTGTTGGGCTGTTGCTAATCATGGTGACAATGCTGTTGATAGCGTCAAACTTCTAGTTTTTGCTCCTGTCCTACCATTGCATCTCCAAATTTTCGATATTCGTCCCAAACCTCACCTCTTGTCTCAGATCTTGACCCTTTGTCCCTATTTGCATCAATGATCAGCACTGACCCCAAACCCACGCCTGTTTCTGCCCCAAAACTCAACCATTGGCCCTAAACCTTCACCCTGACCCTTTGTCCAAGCCCCGCCCTCTTTGCCCCAACGCTGCCCAATTGGCCCCAAACCCTGCCCTGGGTCTGGTCCCAAACTCAACTCTTGGCCCAAAATCTCATCCTCGACCCCCGAAAGATCCCAAAGGGCCGAGCTTTGGGGTGAAATTGGGCAAATTTTTGCACCAACTCAGTTGGGTTTGGGGCAGAACCAGTCAGGGTTTGGGGTCTTTGGTCACCATGGGTGGAAATGGGGGAGACATTGGATAAACGGTCAAGAGCGGAGATTTGGGAGAAGGACCTGGGGGTTTAGGACAGGAGGGGACACTGAGATGGGGGTGGATCCACCTCAGGCCTCTTCATAATTAGCACCAGGATTGCAATCATCACCAGCAGATTTGGCGCAGAAATAGGATCCGGATCCTCGTCCTTGAGGTTGTTCATGATCAGCGTCACCGAGCTCTGCCCGTTGTCCCTGGAGATCCTGAACCGGCCTTGGACTGATGGCTCGTACTCGGTGTTGCCACAGCTGTGGATCGCTGCGAGCCACTCAAGCCCATTCCCAGGTCTCTGGCGTGCCCATTGCATGGCATCACTGCCGAAACTGAATCCGGACCCTTGGCAGAGGAGGCGCAGGGACCCCCCGGGGGGCTGGAGTTCCCCCCCGCACTCCAGCAGGGTCACGGCCACCCGGAGCCCTGCAGGACAAAGGGGAGATGGGGATGAGGTCAAAGCTCAACCCTTGACCCAAATCCTGACCCTTGGCCCCAAACTGGGATCTTTAGAGTTCATCATCCTCCTCAGAGGTGGATTCCACCCCTTTTTCCAGCAGGTTACACGAACTTAGGGGTCCTTGATCAATCAGGTTTCTCATTTCCATCATCTCCCCATTTTCCCGCGGGGGCTCCGGGCGGCTGTGACCCTGCTGGAGTGCAGGGGGGTCCTCCAGCCCCCCGGGGGGTCCCTGTGCCTCCTCTGCCGAGGGTCCGGGTTCAGTTTCAGCAGTTTTGAAATGGAATGGGCTCAACAGAGGCCCTGGCAGGAGCTGGAATGGGTCGCGGGGATCAGGAACGATGGTGCTGACACCTACTATGCGCCATCATTCAAGGGCTGGTTCACGATGTTCAGGGACAACGGGCAGAGCTCGGTGACGCTGACCATGAACAACCTCAAGGACGAGGATTCCGCCGTTTATTTCTGTGCCGAACGTGCTTATGGTGATAATTGGGCTTATGCTGATGCTTATCATTTTGTCCCCATCCCCGTGCCCTTGCTCCCCTCCTGTCTCCATTCCCCAGGCCCTTCCCACAAACCCCAAGCCCTGACCCCATTCCTGTCTCCTTGTCCCAACCCTGATGAGACCCAGATATCTGATTTGGGCTGATCCCCGAGCCATGCAGGCCAATCTGGATAAATCTTGGAGACAGAGAGCACCAACACCCAATCAGCTCAGAGATGCCACCATCTCAGAAAGCTCTGTGATTTCAGCTCTTTAGTGATTCTCAGCTCCCTCAGGATTTCAGCTATTTAGTGATTTCAGCTCTTTCATGATTATCAACTCTCTCAGGATTTCAGCTCTTTTGTGATTCTCAGCTCTCAGGATTCCAGCTCTTTGCTCATTCGCTGGGGCGCCTTTGGCTGGGGCAGAACCAGACAGACAGAGAGGACAAGGAGAGGTCCTGGCGGTTCCACAGCCATGGTTCATTGAGGGATCTGTGAGGGGTTGCAGTGACAGATATTCTCCTGTCAGATGGGATAAACCAGCCCCTTTTATAGGGTACAGGGGGATCCAAACATGTCCAACAGTGAGGGTCAGGGAGAAGTCACCAATGGGGTTACAGAGATAAGCTCTGGTGTGAGAGGCAGAAGACAGGAGATTATTTTGCTGTCCCATCATGACTGAGCAGTTCCAGCTGTTACATCTCAATCCTGCATGGAGCTCTCGCAATCTCTGTGGACTCTGCTAAAGGACATGGGGTCAACACGATAGGCAACAGTCTCCCAGCCAGTACCATCATCAACAGATTTGGCGCAGAAATAGGATCCGGAATCCTCGACCTTGAGGTTGTTCATGGTCAGCGTCACCGAGCTCTGCCCGTTGTCCCTGGAGATCGTGACCCGGCCCTTGACAGACGGCGCGTAGGCGGTGGTGCCACCACTGGTGATCCCCACGAGCCATTCCAGCGCCTGTCGGGGTCTCTGGCGGATCCAGAGCATGGTGGAACTGCCAAAACTGGACCCGGACCCTCGGCAGAGGAGGCGCAGGGACCCCCCGGGGGGCTGGAGGTTCCCCCCGCACTCCAGCAGGGTCACGGCCGCCCGGAGCCCTGCGGGACAAAGGGGAGATGGGGATGGGAAACCTGAGTGGTCAAGAGTGCCCAACTTCACATGGCATGCTTCAAAAATGGGGCAGGACTCACATGGGTGGAGGATGATGAACTCCATGGTTCCCAGTTTGGGGCCCAGAGTCAGGATTTTGGTCAAGGGTTGAGCTTTGCCCCATCCCCATCTCCCCTTTGTCCCGCAGGGCTCCGGTCGGCCGTGACCCTGCTGGAGTGCGGGGGGGACCTCCAGCCCCCCGGAGGGTCCCTGACGTTGCTGTGCCGTGCATCTGGGTTTGATTTTGGCAGTTTTGGGATGTGCTGGATGCGCCAGAGACCCGGGCAGACACTGGAATACATCGCCAGTATCAGCAACACTGGTGATTGCACCTACTACACGCCGTCGGCCAAGGGCCGGTTCAGGATCTCCAGGGACAACGGGCAGAGCTCGGTGACGCTGACCATGAACAACCTCAAGGACAGGGATTCGGCCATTTATTTCTGTGCCAAATGCGCTAGTAGAAGTTATGGTGATGGTGTTGCTACTTTTAGTGAAAATTCCGGCAGTGGCCCCAGCTCTCGGATGGTCACCAGATGTCTCCACTCACAGTGATCCTTCCTCCACAGCCCAGTTTTCATCCTCAAGTGTTAAAGAGTTTCCCCCAAACTCGGCCCCTGCTGCCTCAACTCTACACTTTCCCCCAGTTTTGCCCATTTCACCCAAATCTCCCCCAGCTCCCTGGGCCCTGATTGGAGGAAGCCTGAACTGGAGGCCAGGGGTGAAGGTTTGGGGCCAATGGTTGTGTTTTGGGGCAGGAGAAGGGGAGTGTTTGGGGTCACTGCCTACTATTGGGGCAATGGGGAAAAAGTGTGAAGATCTGAGTCAATGGGTGAGGTTTGGGAGAATGGTCAGAGGGTTGGGGACATCTGGGGACCCAACAACAAAGGCCGGCCTGAAACCAGCACCAATACTATAAGCTTGGTAATTACGACCAGCAAAATGACACTTCGCGCAGAAATAGATGGCAGAATCCTCATCCTTGAGGTTGTTCATGGTCAGCGTCACCGAGCTCTGCCCGTTGTCCCTGGAGATCCTGACCCGGCCCTGCACTCACGGCGCATAGTAGGGGTAAGCAGCAGTGCTGATCCCCGCGAGCCACTCCAGCCCCTGCCTGGGTCTCTGTCAGACTCAGAGCAGGTCAGAACTGCCGAAACTGAACCCGGACCCTCAGCACAGCAACGTCAGGGACCCCCAAGGGGGGGCTGGAGGTGCCCCCCGCACTCCAGCAGGGTCACAGCCGCCCGGAGCCCTGCGGGACAAAGGGGAGATGGGGATGAGGCGATGCAAAAGTCAGGCAGAGCTGTCCAATTAATTAATGGGTGGATTGGGGCTAATTGCAGGGTTTAAGGGATTTTTCCATATAGGAAATCTCTGTTGGATATTTCATGCCAGACAAAGGGAATTTGCGGCAAAACCAGTGAAGGTTTGGGGATGGGAGAGCAGCCATGACCCTGCTGGAGTGCAGGGGGCACCTCCAGCCCCCCAGGGGGTCCCTGCGCCTCCTCTGCCGAGGGTCCAAGTTCAATTTCGGGAGCAACGGAATGTTCTGGATGTGCCAGAGACCCGGTCAGGGGCTGGAGTGGCTCACGGGGATCAACAGGGACGGTTCCAGCACCAGGGACGGGCCCTCATTCAAGGACAGGGTCAGGATCTGCAGGGACAACGGGCAGAGCTTGGTGACGCTGACCATGAACAACCTCAAGGACGAGGATTCCGGATCCTATTTCTGCGCCAAATCTGCTCATAATTATTCAGGGAATAATGCTTATAATGTTGACCCCATCCCCATGGCTCTGCCCCCTCCCATCCTCATTCCCCAGACCCTTCTCCCAGTACCCAGACCCTGACCCCATTCCTGTCCCCGTGTCCCAGCTCTGAACTGGTTCTGCCCCAAATCTCAGCTCCTGGACCCAAAACTCAGCTCTGGGCTCCAAGGCTCAACCAAGGTCCCCAAACCTGCGTGCAAATGGTAGAGATTTGGGGAAAATGGGTCAGATTTGGGTCCGTGGCTGTGACTCAGTTCCACCACTGAGATTTTGGGGCAGAATGGGTCCATTCTGGGGGCGATGATTGGGATTTCATGGACGAGGCCGAGCTCAGGGTGAAACCGGCCCTGATTTAGGGTCAGAGCTGAGATCTGGGGCCAGAGCAGGGCAGGATTGGGACAAAGGGTCAGGAATGTGGTCAGTGGTTGGAGGGAAGGGTCTGGGGCAAGGGGACAGGGATGAGGCTGAATGGACAACCAGCAGCAGCATTCCAACAACCAGTGCCAGGTTCTTTGGCACAGAAATAAACGGCGGAATCCTCATCCTTGAGGTTGTTCATGGTCAGCGTCATCAAGCTCTGCCCGTTGTCCTTGGAGATCCTGACGCGATCCTTGAACGATGGCGCGAGGTTGGTGCCGGAACCATCTCTCCTGATGCTCCCGACACACTCCAGCCCCAGCCTGGGTCTCTGGCGCACCCATTGCATGGCAACACTCCCAAAACTGAACCCGGACCCTCGGCAGGGGAGGCGCAGGGACCCCCCGGGGGGCTGGAGGTCCCTCCCGCACTCCAGCAGGGTCACGGCCGCCCAGAGCCCTGCGGGACAAAGGGGAGATGGGGATGAGAAACCTGATTGGTCCAGGGCTTCAAAGCAGGCGTGGCAATCTGGAAAACGGGATAGGAGGAGCGTGATGAACTCCAAGGGTCAGAATTTGGGGCCAAGGTTCTGGATTTGGGTCAAGGGTTTAGCTTTGACCTCATCCCAATCTCCCCTTTGTCCCGCAGAGCTCCGGGCGGCTGTGACCCTGCTGGAGTGCGGGGGGGACCTCCAGTCTCCCGGGGGGTCCCTGCGCCTCCTCTGCCGAGGGTCCGGGTTTGCTTTTGGGAATTTTGACATGTTTTGGATCCGCCAGAGACCCGGGCAGGCACTAGAAGTGGTTGCAGGGATAAACACTAGTTGCAGCACCTGGAACGCGCCATCGGTCAAGGGCCGGTTCACGATCTCCAGGGACAACGGGCAGAGCTCGGTGACGCTGACCATGAACAACCTCAAGGACGAGGATTCCGGGTCCTATTTCTGTGCCAAATTTGCTAGTGCCGGTAATTGGGGTGCTGCTCCAGTTTATCCTTTTGGCCTTTTCCCCGTTCCCCAGACCCTTCTCCCAAACCCCAGACCCTGACCCCACTCCTCACTCTCTGTCCCAGCCCTGCTCTGGCTCTGTCCCAAATGTTTCCTCTGGGCCACACTCAGTGCCCTCGTTCCCCAAATGTCACCGAAATGTCTGGATTTGGGCCCAATGTTAAGATCAGGGATCAAGAATTCAAATTTTAGACCAAAACTCCTGATGTGAGGGCAACGGCGCAGATTTGGGTCGGTGGCTGTGACTCGGTGCCAGCAGGGGAGATTGGGGGTAAAACTGGACAAGTCTGGGGGCAGTGATTGGGATTGGAGGGCCGAGGCTGAGCTCAGGGTGAAACCGGCCGTGATTTTGGCCCAGGAGCTGAGATTTGGGGCCAGAGCAGGGCAGAGCTGGGACACGGGGACAGCAATGGGGTCAGGGGCTTGGGTTTGGGGGAAGAGTCTGGGAATGGGGAGACGTGGGACACAGGGCTGGGACCAAAACGTCAAACATCAGCATCATAAGGAGCAGCACCAGCACCAGTGCGCTTGGCACAGAAATAGGATCCGGAATCCTCGTCCTTGAGGTTGTTCATGGTCAGCGTCACAGAGCTCTGCCCGTTGTCCTTGGGGATCGTGAAGCGGCCCTTCACTGACGGCACGTATGTGGTGCTGCCACCATTGTCACTGATCCCCGCAAGCCACTCCAGCCCCTGCCCGGGGCTCTGGCGCATCCAGAGCATTGCAAATTTCCCAAAATCGAATCCAGACCCTCGGCAGAGGAGGCACAGGGACCCGCCGGGGGGCTGGAGTTCCCCCCTGCACTCCAGCAGGGTCACGGCCGCTTCCCCATCTCCAAACCTTCATCGGTTTTCACCAGACTCCCCTGGTTTGCTCCCAAATCTACACCACAATTTTCCATAATCGAGGGTGCCTCAAACTCTACAATTAACCCCTGTCCACTCATTAATTACTTGGACAGCTCGTCCTGAAACCTCTGCATTATTTGCCAAATTAACATCTTGGTAACGACCCCCAAAACCCTCTGGCACCCCCTCCCCGGCACATCCCGGCCACGGCCTCGAGCTCCCACCGGCTCCTGGCCCTGTTGGCCCTCCCAAGAGGGTCAAGCTCCCTTTATCCAGTTGGCCACACCCACTTTATGCCCACAGCCAATCAGGTTACTCATCCCCATCTCCCCTTTGTCCTGCAGGGTTCCGGGCGGCCGTGACCCTGCTGGAGTGCGGGGGACACCTCCAGCCCCCCGGGGGGTCCCTGCGCCTCCTCTGCCGAGGGTCCGGATTCAGTTTTGGAAATGTCGACATGAGCTGGGTCCGCCAGAGACCCGGGCAGGGGCTGGAATGGGTTGGAGTGGTCAACAAGGGTGGATCGGGCACCTTCTACGCACCATCGTTCAAGGGCAGGGTCACGATCTCCAGGGACAACGGGCAGAGCTCAGTGACGCTGACCATGACCAACCTCAAGGACGAGGATTCCGGATCCTATTTCTGTGCGAAACATGCTGCTGGGAGTTCGGGTACTCTTACTGAGTTTGGTGTTGGTGATATTGACCCTGATCTCATCTCTGTGTCCCCACCCTATCCCCAAACCCCAATGCCGGACCCCCTGTCCAAACCCTGGAGCGGCTCTGCCCAAAATTCTCACACTGATTTTGGCTACAAGGTTCACCCAAACCTTCAAGCTTCGCCTGAAATATCCGCATTCAGTATAAAGTTTTGGGGCACACAGAGGAGATTCGAAGTCTGGAGATATGGTTGGGGGTCAGTAGATGAGAACTGTGGTCAAGGCAGAGCAAGTTTGGGATCACTGGTCAGGGGCTGGGGACGGGTGGGTACGTCAACAAGGGGGTAGGGCTGCTCTGCTGTCATTGTCACCATGACCAGCACTGTTACCGCAAGTGCCATCAGCAGATCTGTTGAAGAAATAGGTGGCAGAATCCTCATCCCTGTTGTAGTTCATGGTCAGCGCCACCGAGCTCTGCCCGTTGTCCCTGGAGATTGTGAATCGGCCCCACACTGATGGGCTGTACATGGTGCTGCCACTGGTGCTGATACCTGCCACCAATTCCAGTCCTTGCCTAGGCTTCTGCCTCATCCACATCATCCCAAAATTCTCAAAACTGAACCTGGACCCTCGGCAGAGGAGGCGCAGGGACCCCCCGGGGGACTGGAGGTCCCCCTGCACTCCAGCAGGGTCACGGCCGCCCAGACCCCTGCGGGACAGAGGGGAGATGGGGATGAGGCCAAAGCTCAACCCTTGACCTAAATCCTGAATCTGGGCCCCAAATTGGGACCCATGGAGTTCATCACCCTCCTCCCAGGTGGGTCCTGCCCCTTTTTCTAGCTGGTCTCTCCCAGCATGAGGCCCTCGGCCAATCAGGTTTCTCATCCCCATCTCCCCTTTGTCCTGCAGGGCTCCGGGCGACC